CCCCCTTTGAGAACCGACCAGCCGGTGGGCTCCGCAACAGACGCCGAGTCGGTTGCGTGGGAAAAAAAACCTCGAGCCTCGCAAACGAAACCCACATCCGCTTGGAGGGCGATACGCCGCCCGGAGGTGGTGCTATCCGACGGGCAGGAGCATTGTGTGATCACGCAGGCATTTTTCGGCCGAGAGGAAGAAGGAGAAGGCACCGGCCAGCCGCGAAGGCCACCGCGGCTCAAGAAAGCTCGCAGGGAGGCCGCCCCCGCCCCCTTGCAAGGGGAGCCGGCTGGCAAGGAAGCGTTCAGAGCAGCACCATCGCCGGTGCGCCTTGATGGCCCTTTGTTTTCCCTCCGGCGATCCTCATCCGGCCAGATCCCCCGCGGTGATAGTTGGCTCAAGCAGGTTGCACGGTTGACTCGTCGCACACAACGAGACCCCCGATTCTGGTGCCAATGTAGATGCCATGCGAGGGGGTGCCCTTTCGCCACACATGCGCGGGGTATATTTCCAAATATTTAGAGACACGATTTTTCGGCCCCATTTTGATGTGGTGTTTGAGCTGGCTTGCCCCGGCGTGCCGCATGCCGGTCCCCCCAACGGCCACGCCCGGGAAAGAGAACGCCACTCGGCCGCCCAGAATGCGAGCGCCACGATGCGCAAATAAAAGTACGGGCAACACGTGTCCCGCCGGCCTCATGTACCAACGTATGGGGCGCCCATGCTCTCTCTTGCAATGGCCCCCTCCCCGTGTGTCCAGGCGCGCGCGGGGCGCGGGAGGCCAACACCCGACGCGTCCACCGGCCCCACGGACGACCGTGGTCGGCCGCCGGATGCCAGATGCCACGGTGTCGCTGCCTGTTCGATGTCCACCCTCCTTCGAGAGGGGGAGCAAGAGGCTGGGAGATATGTGCACCGCCACTGACTTGCGTCTTGCTTTGCCCCAGCCAGGGTCCCCGATCCCTGGGTTTGATCTCGGGCCATAGCTGTCCCGCCGATGTGCCGGTCGTCTGCACCGGCGACCCTGCGGCCTTGAGCCTGCTCGCCCCTCGTCGCCGGGAGTCTCGCGCCCCTCTCTCCCGGGCACAGTCAGCTCACACAGGGGAGAGAGAGGGGCTCCAGCGGATGGCACCCGCCGATGAGACCGGCCCTTCTTTCCCTGTGCCCCCCCCCCCCAACATGCAGCCGAAAGGGGCCTCAGTCGCGGGAGGCTCCCCGGACGTGGCCCGCTGCCGGGCTCCGGGGCTGAAGGACGGAAGAAGCACCCCGAAGACTGCTGCCACTCGGGATCGGCCCATTCGCGGGTGACTCCCTCCCTGGCCAAGTTTTGCCCGAGCGACTCGACCGGCGCAGCCCGGTGATCGGTGTCTCCTCACATGCCCCCTGCCTGGGGACTGCCATCCAGGGGAGATGAGGCCACCTGCATGCGTCCCAGCCTCGGAAACTGCGCACGGGGCCGAACACGGGGGACAAGCCGGCCGGTGCGTTGGTAGATATGCCATTGGCGCTGGCGCTTGTCTCCGGCGGCCGAAGCCCTCGGCTCCGGCGTCGGGGGATGCGTCCCACGCCCTACAACACGCCTCCGAAGGCTGCCGCCGGCGTGGGCTCCGCTGGGCAGACACACGCTCGCCCCCCCCCCCCCCCCCCCC